GAACTGAGCGTCTCGAAAATACGAACCCAACAACACTAAAATCGACTCAATCCGAGTCCAAATGGATCCAAATCAAGGATCTGAAGCGTTGTTGGAAGGTTCAAACTATAATTTGGATTATCATTCGGTTTCCAAACATTACGTGCTTATATTCGAATCGAGCGGCTCGACGAGACAAATCCAACGAGCCCAAGATCGCCAAATTCCGACATTACTAAGTCCTTCAAATGTCTGACAAACAGTCCACGATCAAGGGATTAAATATTGTCCGTCCACCCAACCACTCCTCATTTACCATTGATCTCTCACCTATTTAAGGGCCATGCCACTCCATAAATCTATAAATAGACCCCTCCTTTATCTTGAAAGGGGTCTCCAAGCAAGAGAAAGATCGGAGATCGCTCTTGCCTCCTCGCTCCTCCTCAACCACCGCCTGACGTCATTGCTCCGCCGGATCACCACTTGAGGCTCTCACCTCCGTCGGACCACCACTTGAGGCCCTCACCTTCGTCAGACCACCATTTGAGGACCTCACCTCCGCCGGACCACCGTCTAACGTCGTTGCTACGCCGGACCACCACTTGAGGCCCTCACCTTCGTCAGACCACCACTTGAGGCCCTCGCCTCCGCCGAAACACCGTCTGACGTCGTTGCTCTGTCGAACCACCACTTTAAGCCCTCACCTCCGTCGGACCACTGCCTCACGTCATTGCTCCGCCAGACCACCACTTGAGGCCCTCAACTTCGCCGGATCACCACCTAAAAACCTGAACTCCGTCGGACAATCACCTAAGGGACTGACTTCCGCCGGACCACCACATGAGGCCTTATGCTCCACCAGGCCACCACTTAAGAGCTTGATTTCCGTTGGACCACCACTTGAGGCCCTGTGCTCCACCAGGCCACCACCTGACGCCCGAACTTCTGCCGGACCACCACTTGAGGCACTGTGCTCCACTAGGCCACCACCTGATGCCCAGATTTTTGCCGGACCACCACCTGATGCCCAGACTTCTACCGGACCATCACCTAACGCCCGGACTTCTATCGGAGTACTGACCTACTACTATGATCTTTTTGACCCAGGTCTTCTGCCAACTACGGTCTTTCGGGGCGTTGTCTCCTACCGACTATCGTTCTTTTGACCTCCGTCGCCTACTATAGTCCTTCCGACCTCCATCGCCAGACAATGGTCTTTCCCCGATCTCTTGCCAACTACGATCTTTTGAACCCCTGTCACGTGCCGACTATGGCCCTTCCAACCAAACAAACATGTCTAGGTTAATTATTGTAACTCTCACTATGTAATGCGCTCTATATAATATACATTTGTGACATCAAGCCAATGCCTTCTCTCTAAGAAGGGTCTCATTTGTAATCGACTGCAAATACTAGTAGATTCATTCAAACTGGGCCCTGTGGTTTTTCCTCCTTTTTAGTGGTTTCCACGTAAAAACTATGGCGTCTATTATGAACGCTACACCATCTCTCTTATATGCTTGTGTGTTGGATCTTCGTACAACGCTAAGCATTAAACTATATATTTCTCTACCGCCTTGAATTTTCCAGGACGTAACAATAATCTTCTTCGACGTCAATTAACAATGGTAATGGACACATGCTTTAGAAGCCATGGGTTGGAAGTTGGCTGATAAAATTATCACCAGCGGGAAAGTTAGGAAATTTTAAAGGGGTAGTCCAATTTTAATCTTGCTTCAGCTGATTTTTATATTCATATTCAATTAATCTCTTTATTGTTTATATGTATTATGAAATATCAACATACTCTATAAAGGTATGCTTGCAAATTTCATTTTAGTGTTTTTTTTTTTTTTGGAAACCACTGGCGGAAAGCGTCTGACTTGCTTCAGTTGATTTTTATATTCAGATTCAATTAATCACTTTATTGTTTATATGTATTATGAAATATCAACATACTCTATAAAGGTATGCTTGCAAGTTTCATTCGAGTGTTTTTTTTTTTTTTTTGAAAACCACTGGTGGAAAGCACCTAACGCATGCTTTTCTAAATTTCGAAGGGGGGGGGGGGCATGTGCCCCCTCTAGGCTCTCTCCGCCTCTGATTATCACCCTTGCATATGAAAAGTGAAGATCGAGTAAACAAGAAAGGTTGAGTTGTAGTTTAAATAAAAAAAAAAACATCCTTAAATCATTGTTATTATCACAAATAAATATGGAACCGTTTTATTAAAACTCTATTCATACTTATTAAAAATAAATATATTTTAATAGTAAGGAGTTATCCTAACACATAAGTACTAATCAAGCATCTAATAAAGTTAGAAAGCCATTCATGAGGTCATCATTCCATAGATATAAAGGAGTGGAAGCTAGCTTTTAATAGGGAGCATGGTGGGAAATTTATTATCACTTTTTTAAGAAAAAAATTTATTAATTTCCTATGTATAATAAAGGCTTGGCTTGGAACATTTATTATTATCATTTTTAAAATAACTTTTTAGTATAAAAGTTTTTTGATTTAAAAGTTTTGCAAAAAACTGCTTTAAAAAGTTGTAACAAAACTATCCCAAATGCGATCCACTCCAACAGAAAAGAGCGTCGCCGTTATATACAGTGTTCAGACATGAGCTACATTCGGACTCTGCACATAATAATTTCTCATCCTAAACGAAGCCTAACAAGTCAACTAGAGTGCCTTCCTTTGGAGAAATTATTACATCCGGTCAAAAACCGAACGGTCCGAATGTATACCGAGCAATACTGAGTCCAAAATACCAAGTTTTTGGTAACGTGGAGCGTGGTTATTAGTCTCTGAACGTATTCGGACACCGGATGTAATAATTGCTCCTTCATCTGATTCATTTCTGAATAATATTCTTGAATTTGTCTTTTAATGTGAGGCCAATGTTGGCTAAGTAGGTTAGGATGTCGGGTCAAATTGGATGAACCTATTAAACCTATTGACAAATCATTGCCACCCGATTTGACAGTTGAGCTGACCTGGTTTTCTTTTCATTGTATTCCGTGTCGGATGTTTCTTTCCAATATAATTAAAAAACACGAAAATTCGAAGGAAAAATTGCCCCTAATAGAAGAGTAATATCGCATAAATTAATTTTAAGATTATATGATAAATAAGGGAAAAAAAAAAACGTAGGCAAGCCGTTCAAAAATTTATGTCTGGTCATCTTATGCTTTATTTTTATAAACTTCTAGTTTCTAAATTACATCAAAATATGTATACGAAATGATATATTTCATTTAAGATAAGTTGTTTTTGTGATATATAAAGTTTAGTGATATATTGAAGTAAATCTTAAGATTATAAGGGTAGATATATAAATACATAAAAATGGTATGTATGTAAATCACCAAAATATAAAATAATTTATTTTTTATTTCCTTTTGATTTTAGATTTTTTATGGTGTTTGATAATAGATGATAATCTTTCATATAAGTTACTCTTAAAATACAAAATATAAAAGTATAATATATTCAACCAATATCTCTTTAGTGATATTGCACGACCATCATCTCTTAATTATCATATCTATCTACATCTTTAGTTGTCATCACTAACAACATTAACGCACATAAAAATTTTATAGAATATGTAATTTTTCACTAGACAAAATATGTAATTTTTTTTTCCTGTATAAAAAATTCACATAAAAATTTAAATTTTAATCACTTGCAATATTTTTTATATGTATATAGATCTTCAGAAAAATTAAAATATAATACTCTCACGCTTTATGATCATGAATATTCTTACAACAAGGCTTAATGATTAATAATATATCTTTATGTATAGTCAATATTCCTTTGAAGTAAGTCTTTAATTTTTTTAGTGGATATGCCCCTACCATCTAGAGAAATTATTCTGTGTGGAGAACAGATACAGAACGTCGTCCGGAGACAAATCATAATGTGCCACATCAACGGTACGGAGCGAAGGGATGACGGGACGTATAAACGACATTTAACATCCGCACAGAATAATTAATCATATACTTAACACTCTTGCTTGTTTAGGAAGTTTAATAGTTTGACTAATGTTGGCTTCATTTTATATAAAGCAAGAACTGGCCTTCTTCTTGGCCTGCACTTGATTTATTCCTGCACTGAAACAGGGGGCTATCGCTCAATAAGTTGGTAGACTGTTATTACTTCCAAACGGCCATAAAATCCCTTTTAATTTGGTAGCTCGTATTCATCATATTTACACTCGGAGACTAAACCCAAGGGGGAAAATGTAAAAAAAATTTTTAAAAGAAAAAAAAAATAAAGTTTTGGTTTTACATTCTTGTTTATTTTTTAATATACATAAAATTATTCAAATGTAACATTTTATATTCACTGAGTATTTAAATACAAAATTACATTTTATTGCTGACAATTACACATTTCTCTTAAAGAATAAATTGCTAAAATATTTTTTCTATTATATATAAACTCAAATTTCTCAGAAGAAACGATGTGATCCTTCTTTTTTTTCTTTTAATGACAGCTTTTTGGCAGTAAAGAAAGTAACGAGCTATTCACAGCCAATTGGGGAGAAATTATTTTATGCGATCATAACAGACCAGAGATTAATCAGGATGCACGACATCACCCAATATACAACATTACACAATACTGGTACTCAATAAAAAAATAAAATTTTGCTTCCTGATTCAACTCTGGACACCTTCCAGTGCGCACAGAATAATTTCTCCAAATTCAAAGGGAGAGGTTAAAAAATATATATATTTTTTACTTTTTTTTTTAACATTTAGATCAATTAATGCAAAGTCCCACACACATCACTTTGTGACCTCTACATTATGAATTATTTGAGATCAATTTCAAATAATGAGGAACAAAATAAATAAATAAAAATGGTGATAGTTTGAAACTAAATTGATCACAGTTAAAAAAAAAAATCAAGAATCCATTTTGAGTTTTTTTCTCATATTAAAATGAAACAAATTTCTCTTTCCCTCACAGGATAAACATCAATCAATTTCAAAATGAAATTATCACCCAACTTCCTTACTTCCTAGAAGAGATTCTACCATATAAATAAAGGACCAATATGAAACTTACAATAAGAAGAGATTTTATTATATACAATCAACATAACTAGTAATTGAGAAAGCAAATAAGAAGTTTCTTACATTTGTTAGGAGAGGACAAAAGCCTCTTTGCTCCCCTTTGTCATTGCAAAGCACAAACTGATTTCTTTTGTGAGAGTTGAAAGGTCAAATTGAGAGAGGTTCATTCATTTTTTACATTGTAAACAACTACGATATGTATTAAAATAGAGTAAATATGTGCAGGGCAAGACCTTCAAACCTTGCATTGCTCTTCTACTTCCAAACCTTGAGGGCACCATCTCTGCTGCTTGATATCAATAGCCTCTGATTCAACTTGACAGAAGCTAAAGAGAGAACCGAATCGCGGTGGCATCCCGCAGAATCAGTAGCTGCCACAGCTAAAAGAGCTTTCTGAGTCTGTTTTGATGATGCTGCTCTCCTGCTCATCTCCTGTGACCCAGATGGAATTCATTCAGTAGTGAGAAAATACAAATTAGGAAAATGAGAAGGGCATTGAAGGGATAACATTCATGATTATATCAAAAAAGTAATAGTCTATTGAGTAGCTGGTTATAAATAAACTGCAAGAAAATTAAATGGAGTGAATTACAGCATATGTCCAAATTTTTGTACTAGAAAGCCGCTTTAAAAAACATAAAAAAGCCGTCCCAAACGAAGCCTTAGAGGAGCAACACATAACTTCATCGCCTAAACGCAAAAACTAGGACTAACGAGATAGCGCAACCTCAACAAAAAGCTCAAGCTAGGCATCTTCCTTGTTCCTGAATAAATTGTGCCAATCTCAAACAAGCTTTAGAAGATTGGTGAGTACAAAATCCACAAGTTGGTTGGTAACCACAAGTTAATCTTACCTCGAAGCTCATTTGTTCATGGCAAATCATCCAGAGATCACATGTCGCGTAAGTATGGCTGACCAACAACTAATGTCAACCAAAGGTTGATCAACAAAACCTTTGTAGAAACTAACGGTTGGTTGACAAAGGAATATCTGCATCTCTTTTTGCACTCTAAACATTAGATAAGTAGTTTCAAGTGTTTCTTTCGTATAAACTCATCATTCCTCACTACCTTCTAACAATAACTTGCATAAGATGTCCTAATCCGCAAGGAATAGTGAACAAGGCATTCACTTCAAAATCTAATTAATACAAATCTTCGAAGGGCATCATCAACGTCTGATGGTTCAATACCATTGGAGAAGGATATTGTGGATTTTCAATAAAGTAACACAAATAATGGAGGATGTTTTTATTGAATACAATATGCATCTTAAATTTTCTTGCAGCTAATCGTGGATGGTCTAGCAATATCATGAAAAAAATACACTCTTACATGAGGTTGTTGAAAAAATCTATATGAATCCATCATCTGAGCTTGAAGTTCTTTCACCAAAAAAAGTGTGCAAATTAAAAAAGGCTTTGTATGACCTTAAACAATCTTCGAGAGCATATTTAGTATAACAAAAAGCCTTTATCCCACTACAAGAGCGTTGGTTATATGAATCTTTTTTTCTCCATTATGTCCTATTAAGAGTCAAATTCTTATTTAAATCTAATAAAAAATATCATTTCAAATAATTTCTAACCAAATCTTTTTAGGCTAACCTCTACCTTTCTTAATATAGGTTGGATCTAATACATCTACTCTCCTAATAAGGTCATCCAAAAATGATGTTTTATGTAACCAAACCAACTAAGGTGACTCCTAATATTATTTGTCACGGAAGTTATTCCAACATTTTCACGCATATACTTGTTTTGCATTCTATCTATAAGAGTTGAGCTACTCATCCACCTGAAAATCCTCATCTCTACAACACTTGACTTAATTTTATGCTTCTCTTTTAATGGCCAACATTTTGCACCATAAATCATTGTACTTCTCACCACCGCCTTACAAAATTTTCCATTAAGTTTGAGGGGTACTTTTCTATCATACAATGGCCCCATGCATTCCTCCATTTCAACCATCCAACTTAAATTATACTAATAATATCCCATTTTTTTCACCATCATTTTGAACAATAGACCCGATATATCTAAAATGAGCACTCCTTTTAAACACTTGATCACCCAATGTCACAATCCCACCACTAGATCTACTACTACTAAAATTACATTCCACGTACTTGGTTTTAGATCTACTCAAATGAAACCCTTTATACTCTAAGGTTGACCTCCATTATTCAAGTTTTTCATCAACTCCCTCCCTGGTTTTATCAACAAGAAGAATAACATTAACAAAAGCATATACCATGATACATCCTCTTACAAATGTTTAGTAAGAACATTCATGACTAAAGCAAAAATATATGGGCAGCTAATGCTTAAAGTAATCCAACTAAAAAAGGAAAATCCTTGGTCACACTACCTTGTATTTGAACACAAGTAACAGCTTCCGTATGCATATCCTTAATGACTCAGAATATAAACATTATTAACTTCTTTCTTTTTTAGAACTCTCGAGAGCATTTCTCTTGGAACCTTTTCATATATTTTCTCCAAATCAATAAATATCATAAGTAGATCCTCTGTACTCTCTATGCTTCTCTATCAAACCTCTCAACAAATGTATAGCTTCCATAGTAGACCTACCTAGCATTAATTCAAAATAATTTTAAGAAATATTAGTATATATGTCGTAACCTATGCTAAATTACTTTTTCCCATTTATTTTAACATATGACATATTAACTTAGCTCATCTATAATTCGCGCACACATGTGCATCACCCTTATTCTTAAAACTAAGAACCAACACACTCATTCTACACTCATATGACAACTTTTTAGTCTTCAAAATAATATTAAGAAGTTTAGTAAACTAAATAATTTCTTGATCTCCTAAGCATTTACATACTCATCGGGTCCTATTTTTTCACACTTCATTTTCTCTAAAGCCTCTGCAACTTCAGATTTACTAATATGATTATAAAAATAAAAATCTCTATTTTCATTTAGGATGCTACAATCACTAAAGTCAATCACATTCTTACAATCTTCAATGAAAAAAATTATCAAAATATCTCATCCACCAATGTAAATTAATAAAAATCATAAATGAAGTTAGATACAAAGAAAACCAAGGAGATCATACATTCTTCATAAAATACTCCACTGATAGTAAAATCTCAATTCTCAATGTATATATCGATAATATAATTCTCACAGATGATGACAATAGTGAAATTGATTCTCATGAAAAAAAAAACTTATTGAAGAATTCAAGATGAAAGAGTTAGACAAACTTAAATAATTCTTAAAAATAAAAGTTGTTCAATCATAAAAAGGAATGTTCATTTCTCAACAAAATTATATAATTGATGTACTAAAAGTAACAAAAATAACTAATTACAAAACCTAAACTAAATAACAAAAATAAAAAAGAACAAAAATAAAAACAGGACAATATCAAATATTAGTCACAAAGGTCCAAACATCATATTTGCAGTTAACCTCTTCGGTCAATTTATGCACAAACCAAAAAATTCTCACCTTTAAGCTGCTTATAAAATCCTCATATACCTTAAATAAATTTTTGGTAAAGAAATTCTCTTTAAAAAGCAAGATACTTTATAAATTGATGGTATATTGATACAAATTATCCAGGATCGCTATTAGATAGATGATTCATGACAGGATACTGTGCGTTTTTGGAAAGAAATCTCATAACATGGAGGAGCAAGAAATAACATGTTATTTCAAGATAAGCAAGAAATAATCTGTTGTTTTAAGATTTAGCAATTGCTCAAAAAATTTGTGAGCTTCTATGAATCTTAAACCTATTGACAAATCAGTGCCACCCGATTTGACAGTTGAGCTGACCTGGTTTTCTTTTCATTGTATTCCGTGTCGGATGTTTCTTTCCAATATAATTAAAAAACACGAAAATTCGAAGGAAAAATTGCCCCTAATAGAAGAGTAATATCGCATAAATTAATTTTAAGATTATATGATAAATAAGGAAAAAAAAAAAAAAACGTAGGCATGCCGTTCAAAAATTTATGTATGTTCATCTTATGCTTTATTTTTATAAAATTCCAATTTCTAAATTACATCAAAATATGTATACGAAATTATATATTTCATTTAAGATAAGTTGTATTTGTGATATTTTTCGTGTGATATAAAGATTAGGGAGATATAGAAACAAATCTTAAGATTTTAAGGGTATATATATATAATAAGAACTAAATCTGAAGGCTCAGTAATTGGCCGAGGCTCCCAGCTTCTCCGAAGTCAAGCACAGACCCTCCAATTTGGTGAAGAAAGGCGCGAAGAATTCAAGCCAACCGACCAGCCCAACCAACCGAGCAAGAGACCAACACTAAAGGTTGGCGCCATGAGCCATGACGACGAAGAAACGAGCCCCAGCCACATCATAGCCCAGTACATCCACGACCAACAAAAAACTCGAACAAATCACAAAAAAAAACCAAACAGAGAGTAAAGAAGGCAACAAACACTAAAAACTACCTACCCCGTCTGCCCCTCCCACAAGACCTCCCACGAGAACCGACAGAGACAACCGGCCTTTCACTAACCAAAAAAGGTAACCGGTAGATATATAAATACATAAAAATGGTATGTATCTAAATCACCAAATTATAAAATAATATATTTTTTATTTCCTTTTGATTTTAGATTTTTTTTATGGCATTTGATAATAGATGATAATCTTTCATATAAGTTACTCTTAAAATACAAAATATAAAAGTACAATATATTCAACTAATATCTCTTTACTGATATTGCACGACCATCATCTCTCAATTATCATATCTATCTACATCTTCAAGTGTCATCACTAGCAACATTAACGCACATAAAATTTTTATAGAATATGTAATTTTTCACTCAAACATGTATTTTTTTTCCTTTATAAAAATTTCACATAAAATTTTAAATTTTAATCTCTTGCAATATTTTTTATACGTATATAGATTTTCAGAAAAATTAAAATATAATACTCTCACAGTCTCACTTAATGATCATGAATATTCTTACAACAAGGCTTAATGATTAATAATATATCTATATGTATAGTGAATAGTCATTTGAAGTAAGGCTTTAATTTTTAGTGGATATGCCCCTGCCCTCTAGAAAAATATTCTGTGTGGAGAACGGGCACAAAACGTCGTCCGGAGACCAATCATAATGTGTTACGTCAGCTGTACCGACTGAAGGAGTGACGGGACGTATTTTAATTAGCCTTCAAACGATATTCAATATCCGCACAGAATAATTAATCCTGTACTTAACACTCTTGCTTGTTTAGGAAGTTTAATAGTTTGACTAATGTTGGCTTCATTTTATACAAAGCAGGAACTGCCAGCACAATAACATAATGTGGGATAGGGTAAATACTAACAACCAAAGGCGTGCATTTAAAATAAATTAAATTAAAAAAAATATCACAGTATTGCATCTTTAACATGAAAGTCAGGACCATTCACAATCGTTAGAAGGTGCGAGTACCCTATAATTAACCGGGTTGACCCAATAACTACCTGTCTGCTGCAGGGACCAAATCTTGCAAATAATAGTTTCAAGTAGAGTCACCTTCAAACCAGAGGCAGTTCACTTCTTCCTTCACAGATCATTGGTACAACGAGATTTTATAAGCAGGTACCAAAACACGAAACAATCTGGAGGGATTTCTCAAGCATAATAGTTCAAGCTGGCCTTCTTCTTGGCCTGCACTTGATTATTCCTGCACTGAAATCTTCATGCGTCACCTGATAGATTATTGAAGGAAAAAAAAAAAAAAAAGTTTACCACCCAGTGACAGAATAGTTGCAAAATTCAGGAGAACAAATAAAATTTTTCTTATAAATATCATTTCTAGAAAGTTCTACAAAGTTCTAGTACTTTTTGGGCTTGCCAAAACCTGTGTAAAATATCTAAATTCATATAATGCACATTCACGAGGTTCCATACGATTGTTTGTTTAACCTAACTACGATATAGACGATGATAAGGAATTGGGCGGAATATTTATGTACATCAAAATCGGTCCAATAAGGACCGGCTTAGAGTGGTATAACAATACCTCCCTCTCAAAGACTCGCATTGTCTTCAAGGTGGAGAGACGGAAACAAAAGCTTTACTCTCTCATACGACTCCCATGTGGCGTCATAGTTTGATAGGTTTTTCCATTCGATCAGCACTTCCTTGATCCCTCCTTCTCCCTATCATTCCTTTTTAGCTCTAGTGGTTCTAACGTCACCTCCAAATCCTCAGCCAATGTCACTGGTAACTATAAACTAACTACATGATCCCCAATAGCTCTCTTCAACTGTGACACATGGAACACTTGATATATGATAGTGGTTGGGGGTAACCTCAAACGATAAACTACTGCTCTAATCCTCTCTAATATCTCATAAGGGCCAAAATATCTCGGCGCCAGCTTCTGATTTCTCTAGTAAGCTACCATCATTTGCATGTAGGGATAAAGCTTCAAGTGCCTTATCTCAGATTGGATTTCCTTTCTACACCCATATAATTGCTTCTTCATAATCTACTGAGCCCTCAATAAGTAAGCCACCTCATCCTCTTCTAAATGTCAGCCTCTTTTTGGCTTTTTTTTCCCTTTTAAATAGCGATTATTTTCATTGCAAAACATTAGAAGAAGTTTATATATACTTCTAGGCTTTGTCAGAATCAAACAATAAATTTCAAGTGTCATTTTCAACTTTTTTACTTTTCTACAATAAACTTATGTTTCGTGCCAAATAGAGGAGAAAACTAAAATGACAAATCTTTTTGAAAGATGTTAAGGACCCAAGGGCCATGTTTATCTAAAGGATGGAATTGAATATCAAAGGGAAATAATAAGGACCAAAGGGCAATTGAATAACAATTAATGATAAACTATCCATTAAAAGTTCGTTTTTTGATATGTAAACTAGATATATGGTGTCATTTCTCCACCCCATCACATCCACCAAAATATGACATCAGGATACCCAACTTGGCCTTTTCTTATAATACTTTGTTACGAGACTAAGTTACTTAGGTATCTAATGAATTTAAATATTTCAAGAGTATTTTCCAGTAAACTAGACAATTTGAATAGCAAGGTTAAAAAGGTAGCAGTTAGACTATCAAAATAATTCTTGTAAATTATTGAACTTTAAAGTTGCCACCAAAGATACATTAATACAGGCCTTCATCCAATTCCTTAGCTCAACATCATCATCTCAATGACATGGGTTCAGAAAGAGTGAAATTTTACCTGCACAATCTGTACCCCAAAGCATGATCTTGTTTCGTAATGCTCATCATTCCCCAAACCTTTTGTTGATGGACCACAGATAGCATAACTTCGTTCGGGACTAATTTCATGAAAAAGTAAAGCAGGAAGCTAGTCAAGCATGAAAAAATGAAAAAAAAAAACAAGATTTAACTAGCATATTAATCAAACCTTGTGTGATTCCAATAACGAATTTTCAGGTCAGTTCCTCCTGTTAGTAGATCTCCACCAGGCAAAGGAAGCAACGAGCGGATGCCAGGAAGACGAGGTGGAGGTTCATTCAATTCATCAATTCTATATTTGGAACTGGAATTCCGTTTCATATCTTGCTTAGAATTTGGCTTGTTGGAAGGCCTAGCTAATGCTCGAGGAATGCTGGACATTTCTGCAACGCTGTCATAGCTTGCCACTCTGAATACCTGAATAAAATTTAGAAAGAAACAGTTTTTTACTTTATCCTTGAGGAACTTGAACCTTCTACAGGAAAAATAATACAAGCCCCTTTTCGGAATTTCTGAATACGCTGCTTTTCTTAGCCTTAAGAAAGGGAATAAAAATAGAAGTAAAATAGAGGTATTTATTTCAGCCTCTCAACATTCACTATTTTAAAGTAATAACGTGCATATTATGCACAAATCTAATTTCACAAAACCTGCATATATGAGGGCTCAATAGCCAACACATGAATGCACAAAATTTTCCACAAAATGATAAATATTATTCCAGTAAAAGCTGCCTTCATAGTCTATATTATGAAGCATTTTATTTGCCCAGATTAAAAATTCTGGTAAATGAAACAAAGTGCAGATACTGGCTTACCTGGTGGCAGCTTCCAGTCTCGGCATTCCATAAGGAAACTTCGTTACAACCAGCAGAAACGTATATCAATGGCCTTGCCATGGATGGAACTGAGTTTGAAGATGGAATAAGTAAACACATTCTCTCCACGGGACATACTGTTGAGTATTGCCATGAATTAACAGGTAAAAGAAACCTTAAATCCCATAATGTCAACACACCCCTGGATGATCCTGAGACGAACCAGTTCCCACACTGACCCATTACAAGAGATGAGATAAATCCCTCCTCTGGTGTAACTCTAAATGTCCAACCTGCTGAATTTGTCCGAGTGTCCCAAAGATTGATTCCACAGTCCCTAGTGCTGTAAAGAACTGTATGGCAAACGCCACCATCAGAAGAAGAGCAGTTCAAAAGGGTAAGAACTGCACCTTCTCCAGCCTCTCTCTTCCTACTATCAGCAATACCAGAGTACCTTTCAACAACATTACCCATTCCTCTAGATACATAATCAACAGCAAACAAGTGCAATGTCCCATTAGATGCGCCAACTATTACTTGTGCCGTACCACGAAGCATGCTAACACATAAAGCCTGGCTATGACCCAGAGAATAAGTTAATCTTGAGCGAAAGGAGATGTCCTTTTCCAATTTTCTGGTATCCCATATTTTAACAGTAGAATCACTTGAAGCACTGACAAAGAAGGAATTATCATTTGATACAGCAATGTCATTCACAGAAGAAGAGTGTTCTTGGAGATGTGCCACCAAGACTCCACGAGGCTTCCAGCCTGCATCAGGAATTGTTGAAGTCCTAGAAAATGAAGGTAACATAGTAACATCAGATTGGTGTTTATCATCTCCAAAGGAGGATGAGGAGTTCTTCACAATTTCAGAGATAGTGACATCCTTTAATTTGCTGGTGATGTTAAAAGAAGGGTCAATCTCATGACTATAAGGATCATAAACGACATTAGAATTTGTGTTGTTGAAGAAGGAGCCAGAGATAAGCCTAGGCGGTACTGAGTTTGATAAGCTAGTTGGCTTATTAGCAGAGCCCACCCATGGCATGCATGAAGAAGCAATTCCTACGGAATTCCAGCGCACTGAAGAATCAGAAACTTTAGATGACATACCCATTTTGTGCTTATCCATGTAAGAGTATATTGGAATACCCTCAGACGGTCCATCAAAAAGAAAACTGTTATTAGTGTTGTTATGGGGTGAAAAAAAGCCAGAGAAATGCATCTTATCGGAACTAAATGAATCCATTTCATCCATTGCACCATTATCAATAAAAGAGTTCCCTTTTCTCAACTTAGCAGCATCCTCAACATCAGAAGAAGTTACTTTTTGGACAGAATTGCCAGAAAATTTAACATTTGGTGCCATGGATTCTTTGTTCCAAGTTTTCTTCATAGGATCCAAATCTGCCGCAACACAATTGATGTTTTCAAGGGTTTCCCAATTATTTGACAGGGCTGATGAGTTATACCATATCTTTCTCTGTCTTTCTAGCATATCAGTATTCCTTGTCTTTTCCAATACTTGGTAAAATACTGACTTTGACACTGGGGGCTTTAGACAGGAAAGGAGTGATGACTCTGAATATAGAGAAGGTGGTTCTCTCTGAAGAAAAGGACGCAAAATTGGATAAAGGTAGACATAAGAATCCACTGGCCCCAACGTTTGGCTACTTGCTGCAATGAAAGTGGCAACCGCTCTTCGTACCCACTGACTTGGATAACATAACAATGGAAAAGATCTTTCAATCATGTCAAGAAGTATCCTTTTCCGCAAAAAACCACTTCTACAAAGCATAGACAAGCAGTCCAATGCATTAACGATGACAGCCTCCATACCATCAGTTAAGGCCTGTTCTATATAAGGTAATAGATACTCCTCAACACTTCTTCGGCCAACAAAGTAGCACACAAAAACAATCTGCCCATAAAATACAGCTCTCAGTTGCTCATCTCGGTCATTAAGAAATGCCGGTAGAATTGGAAGTAAAAAATCATTGCATTGCCTCTGCCCAAAGAAGTAACACAAATGTCCAATGTCCTGCAAAAGCGCTCTCCTGATATTTGGAGTTTGTTTTGAGCCCATGACCAGTTCTTGCACAACTTCAGCAATGGATTTTCTCAGTTGAGCCAGCTGCACATCACTATTGTCAGTCTGTTTCTCGATCAATGGTTCTGCTGCAAGTAGCTGAGACTTAGTGGGGACTACTTTATCAAATGATCCTGCACCAGTCAAACTTTTTGAGCAAATCAAAAATCTATAAGCAGCCAGTGCAATCTTGAATATGTTACTAGCATAACAGATCCTAACACTTTGTTCAGGGTCATCTGGAAGCATAGATAGCATGGGAAGAATATACTCAGGAAATATCTTAGCATCACTGGGAGGAAAATCTCTAACTAGAGCCAAAACATCACACAACGTATCCAAAGCAGCACAGCGGACAATTGCAGCAGGATCAGAAAGCATCGCAATAACATATGGAAGCACATGCTGTAAGCGATCTTCATCATCAATGTAAAAAGAGCAAGACCTCAACATAAGTACACCAGCTCTTCGTAGTTGTGGCTGCTTGACACTTCGTATGCATGAGCAAAGCAATGATGCAATGAGAACCATACCTTCACAGGTAGTTTTACATTCCATTACTTGAAAAAATGGCATTTCATTACTTTCGGTTTGAATACTGTATTTGGCCATTAGAGATTCCAAGTCATTTTTATGGAATTTCTTGAAAAGTGGGACTTCATTTTCCTTGTACCCATGGGCATAAATCAAGGTTTGCCTTCCAATATGCTTCGCCTTGTTAGAAAATAGAGTATGATTGGTGCTGGAACTGTTTGTGGAAACATTTGGAATGTTTCCAATTGTTGTGGTAGCATGAGAAAAAGCATTGCTCTTTTCTACTTCCCTGTAAATGGAAGCTATATCATCAACAAGCTGAAGCCCTTTACCAACCATACTTTTCACTGGATCAGCCCCATCATCTCTGAAATTAGTATTTTCCCTTCCACTTTCACAATTCTGTAAAGATTCATTATCAATCAGGTTGGTATCCATTGACGTTTCAGAAACAATGTCATCAATAGCTCTATCATTCATCATCTGTCTGCTTATCTCAGAGAAAGCACCCTTAGTCATTGCAACCTAAATATGAATCATAGAAGCTAGGTCTTAGTAACTTGGTCATATAGCCTACAAATACACCTAAATATAAAAGAAATTATTCTGGAGACCAACTTACCCTTGTATCAGAGTCAAGGGGAATCAAGCATGAAAATAATTTATGCAGAAATGGGGAGAAATAGCTTGGGAAAACAGCCGAAGCATAACTTTGCAAATAGTTATCACAGGACAACCTTCCTTCGGGATCCAGCTGAATCATATGCAGTATCATCTCACGAATTCCAACATCAGGTATCTGTAGTCATAATACCCACATCCCATTTTATAGTAAACATTTATAAGAGACCACATTTTTCGCACTACTAATAGAGATAAGATTTTATCCTGAGTCATCACTGTTAGCACCTCTTTTTTTATCACCACCAGACAAAAGATAAAGCAAAAAATCAAATAAAATGGCTAAAATTATAACTGCAAAGAACAATAGCATATTCCTCCAATGAAACACAGGACAGCTTTTCAGCAAGCTAAAAAGCATTTCCAAGATGGAACCTCTTCCGGGCAATCAGTTGCAATACATAAATTTCAAGGGATCTTTGTATGGAAAAGTTTATGCAAGATTGTTTTTCTAGTTGCAAAATAGCGTTTATTGCAAACCATAAAGCACTAAGTTTGAACTTTGAAGCATTAAGATGGACATGGCGACTATAAGAATGATGACGAAAATTTGAAGTCTATATTGCCAAAAGCACAGAAAATGAACTGAGGAACATGGTCTATCCATAGTGTATTTTCTTTTCAGTTTATGTTAAGCTTGCCTATGATGTTGATTCTAATGAGAACACCCTTTGTCTTCAATATTTTGACAACCCTTTTAGGTCTAGTTAACTATTGCAGGGGCTCAATACAATCAGCATCATTAACAAGCCATATTTCATCTTTCAGGGTTTCCAATTCTAGAATTTCTGCATATGCAAAATTTTCAGGTTGTTTTCTCCAAAAGCTCTCATGTGGTTCCATTGTTTTTGTTAGTCAATGAATGCTACAATCCTTGTCGTTAATTGCTACTGTAAAACATTAAAAGTAGTGTAAATTGATCCCAAAATCACATTTGAGTGATATGCTGCAGTCTTGGATGGAATGTTGCCAATGCTACAGTATTGAGACTCCAACTTCTACTTGACTCCCTTTGTCCTTTGATATCTTTTTATGGATATATTCATATGGAAAATAAGAAACCTAAAGTTGAATCCTATTTTCTATGTGCTGGAACAATTGGATTATAGGCTTTGACTAGATCTAGAATTCCAAGTAATTTTGTATTTTGGGTACTTCGAAGCTTAAATAAAAACTCTGAGGTACATAAAAATCATTGAATAATGAGCATTGAAATAAATTTTTAGTTTTTTCAATTCTTATGTGTTATTTAGATATATATTCTTCGAACGCTTCACAGGCGATGGAGCCTACTTTCAAGGGTGAGAAATTATCCTGACGTGAGGCATTGATGTTCCTTTTAAGTGACGTTTGTTTTTATTCTTATAATTTGTTCAATGTTGGTCCAAGCCGCCGCCCCCTCTTCCCCAATTTTCCTTCCCCACCACTCCACCCGCCGACCCCTCTTGGAGTTTTGAATTTGAAATTCAAAACTCTCATGAAACTTTGATACTTTCCTAATTTAGCTCCTTAAATTGAGGTCTCCAAATTAATTAGATTTCAATTTGAATTTGAATTCAAATTGGTCTTAATTAATACCCTCTTATTAGGAAACTTCCCTAGCTTAAAAACCTGAAATATATTTCAGATTTTTTTAAAGCTTTGTTAGCCAAGTGGTCCCCACCTACTTAAGTTAAACATTTTCTCCCTCTCTATGCTTGGTCGGCCTTCCCCTTATTGTTTTTCTATTTAATTGTCATATCACCACCTCTTAAATGCCTCCTAAATAACCTAATTTAGGAGTTAATTCTCTAAATCCCGTAACTTGCACCTGGCCACCTTTGGGAGATGTTGCCAAATTCTGTAGAGGGAATTTTTTTTCTTATTTCTTTCCAATTTCAATTCTTCTAATTTGGAAAGGATTTCCCTGTCAAGCTCTTTGCTGGAATAAATTATTCTAAAATATTATTCCCTTCCTTTTCCCAGTTCTCTCACCCGCCCCCTCTCAATCCCGTGGCTATTAACTCTGTTATTTCCGGATTCAAATCCCGGTCTTCTCTCCTCTTCTTTACTCTAGAGAGCTCCCCATCTTAACAGCCTCGAGTTGGAATATATTTTGGGATTAAAAATCCTGCTGCTGGCCGACTCTTCCAAGTCCATCACCTAAATTTTCTTCTCATATTTCTGTTTGGAATCTGAAACAATTTTCATATTCTACAAGAGGAGTTTGGAGTTTGTTCTCCCTCCTCTTTCAAGCAAGAAATTTGATTTCTCTCAGATTTTGGGAGAGGAGATCCAAGGAAGAAAGGATAAGACGTTGGATGCTCTCTAGTCATCCCATGGACTACCCGCCACCGGCTACCACTCCAATGGACTACACTTTGTGCGTCATTTGTCTCCTAATGGCATCGCTCGGTTGCTCTCAATCTTCCTCCATTAAAAGTGCCACCAACAAGAGAGTGAGTGAGAGACCCAAGGTGAAAAGTTCTATTTGTTAATTGTGGGTTATTGTTTCTCTCCATAACATTACTATCTAATTCTATGTTGTCAATTTGATATTGTCTCATTAATCTAGTTGTAACCACATGCCTTACTTAATTTCGACTTGATAATTCCGAGAACTTAATTTGGGTAAGCATTAATTCTATAACTAGCAAAGCTTTAACAATCTTATATTAAAATCCCCAAGCAGTTCTTGTTTCCATGCATTACGTTTCACATCACTTTTTTCATAACGTTTAGCCATATTACCTTTGGTCTATAATTTACCCTTTTCTTCATATTCCTTTCAGCTCAATTCAATTACCTCATTTTCATCCGTAGCACAGGTTCGCCCAAACATAAGTCTATTTCCCACTACCTTGAATTCAACAGGTAGCATTCCCATTGTCTCTATAATATAGTCATTTCTCATCGTATTTTCCTAGTTTTACAATTATTCATCTAGATAATATAATTTTTTATATAAACACTTGCCTTATCAATTTATTTGTTTTCTAAAACTTAGATCCCTATAGTACTCTGAGTTTAATTATTATTTTATTACCTTCAAATTTAAGTCTCAACTACATCTTATTATTGCATGGGAGAAAGAAGTTTATTCACCTAACTTTAAAGTTGAACATGTGCGCATTTGTAATTTAACCAACTAAAATGAGGAACATGTGCTCGTAAAATTTCTAATGTGCACAAGCATTTAAGCAAGAGGAATTTGTAACCTTCTTAATGTGCAAATGAGTAATTAACAAAAGAAAAAAATGATTTACAGCAAAGTACATGAAAAGCCTTCTTATTTGCTGCAGAAAAAGATTTAAAATCTAAGATTCCGTGGGTTACCCTCAACATATCACTATGGTTTTCCTACTTCACAAAGTAAACTCAGACCTCTAGATTAAATAGAATGAAAATTTAGGCAGATGGTAAAACCCATTCAATGCTTGCTACGTAGACTAACACCGCCGGATCTTCTCCGTCATAAGCAACTTTCAAGGTCCAAAGTCAGTGACCAAGTGGATTGGGGCAAAACGTAAGTCCTCTAAGCCTAGACCAGTTGATCAGAACCAGACTCCCCTCTCTCAGTCTAAAGATAATTAACGTGCAAATTCAATCAATGGATGCCCCATCCCGCAAAATGTTATCTATTATCTGAAAAATAAACAAGTTGTAATATCAAACTATCAGTAATGCTTTCTGGTTTATGGCATTCAGAGTTCATGAACTTTAGCATAATTAGCAACTGAAAACAACAAAAAAGCTAGTATCAAGAATTGCATCAAAATAACAGATAGAGTACTAAAATGTAAAAAAATGGAAATTTAGACGGAATGTTCAAGAAAGCTAAAGATGATCACCTTTTCTAGGTACAAACTAGGATCATATTGGCCACGGCGATAAGCAAGTAGTTGGGATAGCTCAAAAAGTGGTTGTCCTTCTAGGAAAAGCTCCGCAACGACACATCTAAGCCAAAAATTGTACCCAATGTTAAAATTTGAACAAAAGAAAAAAGATTATCCCTCGATAATTTATTTATTTATTTATTCATCTTGAATATCATAACTTACTGGATGCACACTGAATTCCAGCAACGGGATGCTTTACATGATAAATGAATATTCAACTTGAAAGAAAATTTCATTTATTCCCATTATATTTTAAAAAAATGGCAAGATAACTGATGTAGCATGAAGATACCACAATCAATAAGAATTATTTAACTGGATACTAGTAAGAATTTCAATAACTAGCAAGTTGAACAATAAGGCCACTGAGAAATTATGTTAACCCAAGCAAGATACCTAGATTTAAGATTGTAAGGTAAAGAACAGCAAACTTAGAAAAAGATATAACAGTAGGGAAGTTAGCACAATCGGTATGTGACTGGATAACTTGAAGATGGTCTCCACCAACAATCCTTCATCGTGGAGCTCCTCTAGCTTCTGATAGAAAACACTTGTATAAACCTAAAAACCCTTGCTGAAATACGAGAAAAAAAGCCATTTGCAGACAATTTTTAGAAGAAGGAAGACAAACAACAACGAAACAAATTTTATTTGATGAAAGACGACAAAAGCAAGCAAGATACAATGGATCTTCAATTCGAGAGGAAGATCCGGCTCTCCCAATCCCTAGCCAGTGGCTAGAGCCCAAGTACCTAAGAGAGATCTCAAATTTCAGCCAAATTCAAAATGCCCTAATCCGTGGAAAACAAACTATTCAATGCATACAATCCAAAAGAAAATTTCTAAACAACCCCTACTTTCAAGATTCCCTCATAAACTCCTCCTAAATCCTTCCTAATCAGAGCTTTTGGACTCTGCAGTTTGAGCAGCATGAGCTTGTTTCGGTTCAGCTTTCAAGTGTGCATCAAAATACGCCATCAACATTATTCGTGATGCAGAGATCAAATTTTCCCTTCATTTATTTGAACATAGATGTATATAAATAAAATCTATTGATGAAAATGGTATTCTCAGAAATCAGATACCACTAAACATAGGACAACTTCATCTACAGGTTCATTAGTCCAACTTCTCTAAGATTTCTGATGTCCATATACCAATGCCAAAAAACATTATCATACACGGAATCCCTTATTTTATGAGGGTGCGGCCTTCCATAATCATATATTTGCAGTTATTGAAAACAGAAAAGGGCATACCCAACAGAGAAGATGTCCATCGATTTCTTCAGAGTAGAATCTGGTGCATTATTGGCCTCACCAACATGATCATAAAATCTCTGGAAGACATGGACAGAAAGTTGTATCTATTCAGTACACTTGATAACTCTAAAGCTTGAATGTGAAAAATAAGCATAACAAAACTAGATGAAATCTGCAGGTATTCAATTAGTTCGGAGTTCCAAAATTAATACACAAACAAAAACAACATATAGAAGGTAAGAGATCAAGAATGTTGGAGAGAATAGAACATAAGCAACAATGGTGGGCATATTGATAGAAAGAAAATGTGGCTCTAAATAAGGTTAACCTATTAATGTCTAGGCTGAGAAGCTATATAGTAGTTGAAAGAAGCCAGTTCATTCGTTTAGCAGAGTTCTCTACTATGTTTTGCTTCTAACAGTTTCCTTAGCATATTGAACAAGCTTCACATTGTTAACAAAGCCTGACATATAATGCAACAAGCTCAACATTAGATCAATTGGTTTAATGTGTTCATAACAAAGCTTATTTATTATTCAAGAAGCAACTCTATGACAACCTTTTCTAAAGTTTCTATGGCTTTATCAATAGCTCAATTATCGTATATTGGTCAAGTTCCTAGTTATTGAATTATTCCTTTGCTTAGTTTACGTTGATCTGTGCTCATTAAGAAAAGCATGAAGTTAGATGACAAATAATAATAATAATAATAATAATGAATAAAAAGAATATTTTAATAAGTGTAGGCAAAATTATATGAAAACTTGGCATATTACAGCACTAGTCACTACCATCATTTATTAATGTTTGAACTTGGCTTGAGCACAATAAAATCATAAATAAATAAGCATTCAAAGGATGAATCATATTTAGATTTTTTAATTATTAAATGACTTTTAAGGCACATTTCAGGTTGCTTGAGCTTGATAACGACCAACAAAACAAACTTGAAACTGGCAGCCCTGCCCTACTCTGCCTTTTCTTTTACATTCCTGCCCTAAAAGGAAGGTATACAAGGATAACAAAAGTTTTGTTGTTAATGAAGATAAATGATTGCTGGAAAACTGGGCAAAGATGTTCAATAAGAAGGTTTACCATACAAATGGAGCTTTTTAGTGCACTTTCATACAATATAATACACATTCAAAGTGAATTAAATAAACAACTTTCACTTTCTTCTTAAAAAAATGGATGAAGCTAAGCCCAAGTTTTGATAGAAAGAACATATCCTTGAACAAAATAGCAATCAAAGTTTGCCTAAAATATTTAGCACAGCAAAACTAAACAGCTCATACCACATCCTCCTTGAAGCCAACAAAAAAAAACAAAGCATCAATAAACTAATTCAACTTGAGGATAGGGAAAGACCTCAGGTGCAAGATAGCAACGCCTCCTTCCCCCAGTATCAAAAAAAAAGGAGAAATCTGAAGGGTCATCATCTGGTATGTACGTGGGCTTGAAAGACGCAAAGTCCGCAAGGTAAAGCCAGTTCCAAGAAGAGACGAGGACATTCTCACACTTGATATCACCTGCAGCGCCGAAAAAAATCTGTGTTTCTAAGAAAACCCCTTAAAAGTTGTTCACTGATTTGGTCCTAGAGGATGCTCTCTCACCATGGCAAACTTCCTTGTCATGGCTCTGCTTCACTGCACAAAGTAACTGCATGACCAAATGAGCTAAGTCCAGAAACATATCTGGAAAACATAAGAATAATGCTTATACAAAAAAAAATGAAGACTGAAACGAAGGACGATCTTGAAAGTTACAGACAATTTGTCGAAAATCAAAAACAGAACAACGAAATCCACAACTAATCTACCATTGAATGGTAATACAAGAGAATCATTTAACAGAAAGGAGAATATAGAAGAAGAAAAGAAGACTGTTTTCAGTAATCTACACCATTTTCACAAAACAAGAAGGATTTCGAAACCACTACCTGATATGCAAGCCATTTCTTCTCAATAAGACTGAGGAAGGGCCGTGTGCTTAGCCTATCATGAAGATTGCTAAAGAAGTGCTGTCTCAAGAGATAAGCTGCCTTATCTGTCTCAAGCCAAAACTGCATAGCAACCAAAATAAATCCATGCATCAAAAAACATACAAAGATCTGATAAAAAGCAGAAATTTGCGAAATCAAGACAACAGCCCTACAATCACCAATATCAATAAACCAATCACTGTTAGATTTTACATGGTAAAAGGATAAAAATGAGTAAAAAATCAGCGGGTTTAACATGCAGCAGATGTTAGTGCTCAACAAAAAAATATTTGGAGAAATAGAGTGAGAGGCCCCCTCATTATATCTACAGAGCTTCCTCTCCCATCCTTATTTCTCGTTTATTACTCAGTGAGTAACACCTGGATAATGATTTTCCAACTAAGATGGATAACATTAAAGAACGTAAACGCTATTCCCAAAAGTTCAGTGCCCCAAAATAAAACGACAAGCCAGGAATACCAAGGAGTATGATCTCCACAGGAGCTCACCTGGAAAGGCCAAACATGGGGGTGTTGCACGGTTTGGAATATATTTCTAATCTCAGAAAGCCTCCTCTCGTACTCCTGTTAGGGTTTGAATCCAGGAATAAAATACAAAGGAACTTGATAGGTGATAAGGCTTCAAAATAACAATTTTATCAAGGAAATACCTTGAGATCGAGGGGGTCACCCCGCTTGAAATAGACCTTAACCAGAACAAGACCCTCGTCGTGCTTACAGAGGATGGATTTGAAGAACCGCCCGCGTCCAAGGACCTCAATCAGGACTAGGTTATATGAGGAAGGGAGGTCATGGAGGTAATACTCCGTCGCTGAAACTTGGGTTGTTCGTGCTATCTTGTTCCCCATCTCCTCCTCACTCCGACGTCCCAAAAAATCCTCTCTTCGACCACAGATTCACTCAATGGGCTTGAATCGCTCCTCTTTTTTTCTCCTCTCCCTTACAATTTCCCTTAATTTGTAGATATCACGATAGGAGACCGCGACAACGATAAACAAACGGGGGCAGAAATAGCTATTGTTTGCGATGGTTAGAGGATGGAAGAAGAAATGCGATTTCTTCTGAGAGCAAGAGAGGGGGAGGGAGTAAAGGAGAAACCAGTGCGGTCCCGAGATCCCGTCGCATACTGCCTCGCTTCGTTTGTCGTCCATGGCTCCGCGTATTTGGGGACGGGTCTTCCGTGCCCGTACATATTTCGGAATTTTTTAATATTTTTGTTAACTTTTTTAAATAAAGTTTTAATTAAATTATGTATGCTAATTAATTTTAATTTATTATTAATTGATCAAAAAACCAAGGCTTTTAAAACCGGACCGGTCAATGAACCGGAAGAAGGAGGGGTTAGAGGTTTGATGGCTCGACCGGGGTCGAATCGGGGTCGAACCGGATGACGTAATAAATATTTATTATATTTAAACATTATAATAATGACACAATTATTTATAAATATATAACAAAAATTGAAAAAAAATTATAATACTTTTACTTATGAGTGACTAGGCAAGGCAAAGGATGAGGCTTGCAAGTGAGAGAGCTTGTGTGGCTGAGCACAAGTGCAATCGGCACGAGCTCAAGTGCGAGCCCTAGCGAAGGGTGTGACTGTGCAGATGCAAGCGCAGGCGAGGGCTTAGGTAGGGGACGGGCACGACGTTGCGAGCAAGGGGTGTAAGCGAGCAGAGTGCGCAAGGCATGCATGACTTGGCTTTTTGTGTTGACGCGAACTTGATCCATTTTTCAATTTGGTTGACCCAAACTTAAAACTTTTTAGTCAGATTTTTTGATCGGATTAAATATTGACACTCTGATATATACATTAATTAAAAATCAACCCAACTTTAATAAAAAATTATATAAATTGATATTAGTTTTAATTTACTTCCTCTCAATAAAAATAATTATTTTATTAATTTGATAAATTATTGATTATTTAACATTTTTATTTGTATTTATTATATCATATTATTTTTAAGATTTAGTTCTCATAAGTTTTATCAAATTCAACTTCAGTTAAATCCTGCTTTACCAAATAGGCCCTATGCTTAAAAGCAAAAAATTTTATTTTCATTTTTTTATTATTCTTTATTTGCTTCTCCCCGTTTCTTAGTGGGAGAAGTTAGCACGAAAAACCTGAAAGATTCAGTTTCTTTCATTATGGATCAAAGCATGTTCTAAATTACGTATGCTACCTTGTAACAATTTTTTTAACTTTTATTTTTTATATACATCTATGATGCAAATAAGATTTTATTTGGGACAGCTTTTGTAGTGGCTTGATTATGATTATGACAACGCTGGTGGATTCTTGTTATCTGAAGTGTAATGTTCCTAATTAATCATTTGTAATTTGTATCCATATAGTAATCTTGCAACTAGTTTGCAATCTGCATAGGCCTCAAACAAAAGCCACAGGGCAACTTTTATGAGTCCTATTGGCTGTCATGTGTTTACTATTGTTGCGGGCTAAAATATATGTGCCTATGCGGTGATAGAGTTATAATTATGTTTTAGAGTTGTACGGATATCCAGCTCACATATAATGAACATAAGATTTTTTACGTGGAAAAACTTTGAAAAGAGAAAAAACCACAGTGCCTAGCCGAGTTAAAAATGATTCAACTAGAATTCGAGTATATACAGTTGGTTGACTCGTCCTTAAGGATGATCATATTACAAATGTCAACTGTATGGTTGAAATTTAGTGACAAACAGTGGTCCGTTGGAACTCCATAGTTACTTGAACATTTGGGCGTCAATTGGTAGTCCGGTGGTTTTTTTGCAGAACTTCGGCGTTGGACAGTGGTCTGAAAGAATTCTGGTGTCGGGCAGTGGTCTGATAGAACTCCGGTGTCTAGTAATGGTCTGACAGAACTCCAGGCGTTGGGTCGTGGTCTACCATAACACCGGGCGCCAGGTTGTGGTTCGACATAACTCCAGGCATTAGGTGATGGTCCGATAGAACTTCGGGTGTCATGAGATGGTTCGGCGGAACTCCGGGCGTCGGGTGGTGGTATGGCGGACTTCCGGGAGTCAAGTGGTGGTCATGTGGAGCTCAGGCGTCAAGTGATGGTCATGCGGAACTCCGAGCGTCATGTGGTGGTCTGATGGAGCTCAGGGCCTCAGGTGGTGGTCTTGCGGAACTCCGGCGTCATGTGGTGGTTCAATGGAACTCAAGGTGTCAGGTGGTGGTCCTGTGGAGCTCAAGGCGTCAGGTGGTGGTCCTGCGGAACTCCAACGGTGATCGATGAGGCAAGAGCGATCTCCGATCTCTCTACTTTCTCCTTAGGCTTAGGGGTCCCTTTCTAAAAGGAAGAATGAGTCTATTTATAGATTTCATAGAGTGGCATGACCCGTAAATAGGAGTAGTATCAATGAAAAATGGGGAGTGGTTTGGATGGATGACCGATACTAAATCCCTTGATCATGGACCGTTCGCGCGCTAGACATTTGAAATTCTTGATGATGTCAAAATTCCGTGATCTTGGGCTCGTTAGATTTTTCTTGTTGAGCCGCTCGATTAAACTATAAGCATGCCATGTTTGGAAACCGTTTGGTAATCCAAATTGTTGTTCAAACCTTCCAACAGCACTTCGGGCTCTTGATTTGGACCCATTTGGGCTCGGATTGAGTTGAATTTGGTGTCGTTAGGTTCATATTTTCTAGATGTTCAATTCGACTGTAAGTTCACTGAAAATCGGAGTTAGTATGATCCCAAATTTAATTTTGGAAGTTTCCAACTTGATTTTTCCTCGAGATTCTTGCTCGATCAAGATAATTTTTTTAGGATGTATAAAATTATATATATATATATATATATATATATATATATATATATATCTTTTGATATTTGATATTTCTCTAAATAATAAATTAATTTATGTTCCACGTAAATGCAAAAAAAAAAAAGGAAGCCGAAAAATTACAACAATATGGAGAAACAAACTTATTACCAAATAAATCACGATTATATTTAAAATAAAGAGCATAGAAGATTCAAAACAAAATCCATCAATCAAACAACAATCTTAAAAATTCCACCACTATTGTGAACTTAAAAAGTTGAGCATAAACCAAACAAATTCTCCTCTTCCATGTCGTCTCCTTTCACCGTCGCTCCCTAGCATCCATGAACGAGCTTGGAGCACTTACCTTTAATCCATCGCATCCCTTTACGCAATGAAGACTTCACCTTTCCCTCCACCGAATACATTTTATAACCTGCAACCCTTCGCCGCCGTTTCATCTCTGGATCTTTGAAGCACCACTTCGACGCCACTGGCCGGCTTGTCCCTCTCCTTGGGGGAGGAGGGTGGTCCAACGAGCGTGCGTAGGTTAGGTAAGAGGTTTGAGCAGCGCTATACGCCTTGCCGCAGACGACCTCGAGATGGCGGCGATCGCCATTGGTGGTGTTATAGATACGATAGGCCCTGCGGAAATCGCTCATTGGAAAGCAGAGGAGGGAGAGAATGGGAGGCCAGAGATAGAGCGTTTGATCCCGAGAGGGAGAAGGGTAGCCCCGGATTGTTGGGGTTAAGCGGCAAGGATTTGGAGTAGTCTTTCTAGGGCGAGTTTGTTTTATTTGGGAAAAGACAGCGGAGAGGTGAGGAAAGGAGAATAACGGGCACAAGAAGTACCACCGAAATATATATATATTTTTAAATCTTCAAATTAAAAATAATATATATATATATATATATATATATATATATATGC